TAAACCTTAGTCTCAGGAGGGTCTCTTCTTTCTTTGTGCTGAGTCTATTTACAAATACACTCTTTTTTACAAAACTTGTCATTGTAATGACTGGCATACAGTGAGGTGTTCAAAATGGAACTTGTTTGGAAACAATTTGATGAAATGGCCAAAAATAACATCCAGAAGAACATTTGCCGTGGCTTTTCAGTCCCTTGCCACTCTAAAAACCTTTGGACAAGTCAAAACAAGTATCTAAGCACCTTGTCCCATGGACCATCCCCAGGACTTTTCCTGACTCAGCACTGTGGACCTTCAGTGCATAGTTTCAATTTTGCACTCTGGATTGAAGACTTCCTACCACATGAGTCACTTTGGTATAAGCAATCAGATTCCTATTTCTTTTCCCCTCTCATTTGGCTTTTCTAGTGAGGGAGCTGGATTTGGATAGACAAGATTTAACATCTGAATGGAAGTTCTGGTTTGAACTTCTTTGGGGGCAATGTGATTCCAGACTAGAGAGGGATTAAGGATCCTCTATCTACAGAAGTTCTCTTTGGTTTCTCTCTGGGTTGGTCTGGTTGTGGTTGGAGATGGACCATATCAGATTGCAGAATCCTGGTCAGACCTGATTTGGCCTTCATTGCAAGTGTCCTGAGACCTGATTCTAACTACAATATAAATAATAAAAGAATATAATTTTGGCCTCTTTTGTCACTATTCGGAAACAATGGGAAATATTAGTTACATCTCCATATTCAGCCCATTAGTTGACATTCTCCAACAACTGGGTCACTTGCAGCTATAAATCCATGAGAAGAAAAAATTATTGTTTTTGTAATCCTGTCTGATCTTCATATTCCTTGAATTAAGGAAAGCATTGGCCTGAAAATGGGTCATGGGGACAGCACTGGGAAGAACTTAACTTAAACCTGCCAGGTATACTGTCACCTTAATTCTGAAGAATAGCTTTAGCAGAGGTTCCTGGGGCCACTCTGCTCTTTTGCAGGGCATTCCCATGAATTTTTTAAACACTATTAACTCCCAGTAACATCTTGTTACCTTTTCTGGTAAATTCCTTTTGAGTCTACAAGCCTAATTTAATGTTTTATCAGCATGCCTAATTTATAAACTTCTTGAGAGTGCATTTTAATTAATCTTAAACTGCAATTATAGGGTGAACATATAAAAGTTTTAAGCTTTTCATTTTTTTTCTTCTAATGACTTTCTTTTTATATTAAGTATAACTGTTATTATGTGGAATGCAAAACCTAAGAGTTAACTCATAAATTTGTTTGAAAATGAGAAGAAGGAAAATGAAGGAGAAAGATGAAATAAGTAATCAAGAGAAGAAGGGGAAAGAGGAGGAGGGGGAAGAGGCAGAGCAAAGGTCACAGTCTTTTTAGAAATCAGGCTGCTATGAGATCTGCTTTACCTTAAAAAAAATTGGTCCACAAACTTCCTAAGACTACAAAAGAATATCTTAAAGTGTAGTCATATAAAGTGGTTACCTTAGCTTCTAACATTTTTTCATAAATATAATTTGGATTGAAATGCCCTTTAACAAACTATTCAATTCACATTGCTTTATCACATTTGTGTATCATGTGCATCAAGTACACGGGTTTTCTTTGACTAAGAAATAACTTGAAATGGTTGTCTGATGTCTCAGCAATGCAGTTATAACTGTCAAATATAGACTAGGTGAATAGAAATGAGGTTAAATATTTATAGATGTATTCCTCATGTTGCTTAAAATCTTAAATTCTGTTATGCTGAAATTTGATACAACATCTGAGTCATTTCTAAATAAGAAATTTAGGGGATAGAAGAAGACTGTAGTCTATCTTTTAAAACAGCTAGATATAACTAAGTATGCCCATATGCCTGAGTATGGTAGCACCCACTGTGATTTGCTGCAAGAAGCAGAGAAGTTATACTCCAGCCAGATTATCGCTATATAAAGTGAACAAAAAAAAGGGAGTTGACTTACCTGGGGAGGTCCGGCAACATTCATACTATATTACTGAGCAATTCTAATATCACCATAAATTCAGGATAGACTTAAACCCAGCCTCTGTGTTTCCCACTGATGCTAAAGTACTCATTCATAACTGTATCCATATTATTGAGCAAATTTATTCCTACCATCTGACCTAATGGAGCTGCCTTTAGAGAATCCAAAACTTGAGATGTCCACATAGATAAACAGTTTTTTGAACCAAGGTGTGTTACCTTTCTATACCATAACAAAAATACCTGATAAGTCCACTTAAAGGAGTAAAAGTTTATATTGTTAAAACGTGTTGTTATTGTTGAAAGTTTCAGATGTTTAGTTTATAGAAGGACATGGTAGAGGGAGCTGGTCAGCTCTTGGAAGTCAGGAAGGAGGGAGAGAGAGGGAGAGAAAGAGAGAGAGGAAGGAGAGGAGAAGTGAGGTCAGGGACAATATACAAACCCCAAGGACACATACACAATGAACTAAGTTTTCCAGCCATGTCTCACCAACCTACTCTTATCACCTAGTAAGTAATCTATTCAAATTATTATTTCTTCAAAAGAATTAGTCTACTAAGTTATTGTTCTCATAACCTAATGATTACACCTTTGAACATTCCTACATTAACTCATGAGCTTCTCCAGAGATACTAAAGAGCCAAACCTCAAAACAAGGACAGCACAGAGCTGATTATAGGGCATTAACCCAGAAAATAACATTGAAAGCAGAAGTCCTCCCACCTCGTTTTTCCACATACAAGAAAGGGTTTGTGGCTCTTAGAAAGGCCCCTCCATTTAGAAGGAGTAACTACAACATGAAAACCAAAAACAAACAAACAAACAACAAAAGAAACCACACCGCCACCACCACAAAACTGTTTTAAAAATTAAGAAAGACAATGTTAACAGTTCCCAAAATGAATAGTACATCATCTAAGCACACACAAACTCCTATCTGTATTTATAAGATTACCCTACTTATTAATAGTAAAATTTGGGTTTTGCAAGTGGTATAGAGGGAGTAAGAAGGAGAAAAAAAGGAAATAAAGAGACAAGAGAGAGTGGAAAAAAGAAAATAAGAGAAAAAAGAAAAGAAATAAAAGGGGAGGAGGGAGGTGGGGCATATGCAATTCCTCTATATTATATTATTCTGGTGATTCAGTTGTTAAAGACCATTTTCATGCACAATTCTTGGTTTCACATATGTTGAGGTTGTGAGGACCAGAGGGGTAAGGGTAGAGGAGACTGGATGAATGGATGAAAAGAGAGAGAAGAAAGAAAAGAAAAAGAAAATGTCTCTCAGAACTCTGTTTTCTTTTCTTCCAGTAGGTGGCCGTTGTCTATTCCTAGCTTGAGTTTCTGGGTTCAGGGTGGTGGAGGTAGCCAGTGTGAGAGGACTTGAGCTTCCACCTGTGGCCTCTCTACTCTTATTCTCTGAGATGTAAATCAGACGCCTGATCCTCCACAGAACCAAGCTGGTAGCCATGCCCACCAGTTGGTGGACTTTAAGGGTTGGTAGGACTTTCCAAGATGAGTTCCATCAGTTTTTCTTGTAAGGTGTTTGATAAGGTAGGGGGGGGGTGTTGGGGAGACCTTATGTTTGTCCAGAGCTCAGTCTGGTGACTGTATATGGAAAGCTTCATGAATTTGTGTGTCATCCTTGCGCAGGGGCCATGCTAATCTTCTCTGTATCATTCCAATTTTAGTATATGTGCTGCAGAAGCGAGCATTATTTCATTATTTTCATTCAAGTATTTTCTACATAACAGTTTTTGGTATATATTTTGAATTTATTTATTTACTACTTTATGTGTGTGCAGGAAGCAAATCTAGGCTGTGATCTCTCTATCACTGAACTTCATCCCCAGCACTCTGAATTATTTTATTTATATAAATTCCAAAATACCTTATACAACCTAATATCCTGCTTCTGTTATTTATGTTTTGTCTCAAAATCACATTTTTTCTTTCTCCTTTTTCATATGTTTATACTTTCTTTGAGTTGCTTTCAGAAAATGCTGATATCACAATATTCATTAAGATCCAACTATGAACATTATCCCAATTTGGTTTAAAATGAAACCCTGAATAAATGTATTTCTATATGAGTCTTCCCAGTGACAGAATGAATCCTAAAAAAAAAAATCATGAAAATCTTTGTGTTCATCATGGACATATACTTGAAGTTCTTTAAGTCTCCAATATAGTACCTTTGATACTCTAAAATATGTACTGTCAATTTTCTTACCTTCCCTTCATGTCTGATTTTCCTGAATAGGACACAATATTAACAATAACTCCTGAGGTCAACAGCATGACACCATGATTTTTCTTTGTAAACTGCAAATAGAAGATTTTTTCCACATTCAGGTGCTAATTTCTGAGGCCAGAGGCAGGGGTTGAATGCTGGGATGGCAGTACTTGCTCATAGAACCTGATAACCAGAGTTTCTCCTGAACCCATGCTATCACTTTCTAGGGTTTCCTGTCTCAAACTAATGCAGAGAAATAGTTATTTCAGCAGTGTGAAAACATTGAAACCATCCACAGGAATACTTTCATTCAAACCCTTCATCCCTTTAGATTCAGTTTCTGATGTATTGGGCCCTGGGACACAACCATCTAATTTGTCCCAAACTCATTGACCAGAAATCACCTCTTGCCCTTGGGATAGGTGAAGTGTGAGAGCAAAAGCCTAGGTGTCAGAACTCCTAGTGCTCAGGGACAATGAGAGAAACAGTGCCAAACCCATCTAGTCACATGAGGTGTCCATCAGCCTTGGAAGTACCCACCAGAGCGAATTGCTTCTGTTCCTTTGAAAAAGCACCAGAGGTGGGGATTTTGGTTTGTCCCTGTGTGACAAGGGTCAGTCTTCTCCATGAACTGGAGTCTGCAGCGGGGCAGTGGTCCCTGAGGTTTGGTGCCTTGAAAACAGAGGCTTACCACAGTCTATCAGTTGGAGCCACACCTTTTGCCTTCTGCCCCGCCTTGGTCCAGGGAATGCAACTTCAGGGAGAGGTGGCCATGGGCATGCTAGCCTCACAGCCTGAGTCTCCTGTACAAAAGTCCAGTCCAGGCTATCTACTAGAGGTCCAATTTGCTGCCCACAGCCCTGAGAGGGGCTTCTAGCACCTTCCCACTAGGTGAGTGTTTCTCCTCTGGGTAGAGGGAGTGATGGGGTCATCTCCATCTGGGAAGGGATCAGTGGAGGCTGTGGGCACTGTTCTCAACCCCACAGACAGCTTCATCAGAGTGCAGGAGGGAGGGGAAGCACTCTGTCCTCCACTGGGGAGGGAGGGAAAGGAAGACAGAGGAAAGGAGCCAGGGGAGTGGGGGAAAATGCTTGAGGATTTCTACAGCAGTACAGATGCTTGGTGGCCTTGTGGACTAGAAGCTAGAAGCTGATGTTTTGTGGCCTGTATGGAAGTTCCAGCTGACTCCCTTTGACCTCCATCTCTGTGCTTTATATCCACAAGTTTTATGCTATGCCTCTGAGCAGCAATTTGTGCCCTTGGTCATTTGAGTTACTATTAAGTGAACAAGTTTGTGTG